GCACAGCGCAATGGTGACACCAGAATAAAAATAGTTACGATTCTGAAGCTGAAAATACAGAATTATGCTTGCAATCTGACACTGACTACATATAAATATGACCTTTTTTTACTGGTAAAATCAGACATTTGGCATTATCAGGAGTATACACACTAAGCATACTTACACATGCACACACATTTTGTTGTAGATATCTGAAATAAATGAAGGGTAACAAAATGCTTAGTGCAAGTCTACTCTTTATAACACGTTTTCAGGTTTCACTGTAATCATAATTGTATAAAACTGATACCTCAGCTTAAATGCACTGGTAAACTTTGACTAAATTTTAAATTATAATGTTTTTATAATGTCTAAATATAAATCCAAAAGTAAAAACCTGATAAAAAAGCATATTAGTCAGTAGAATTATCCATTAAGTGGTCCTCTGCTGCCATCTAGTGATTATAATTGAAATTTCAGGGAATAATTATAATGTTTTTATAATGTCTAAATATAAATCCAAAAGTAAAAACCTGATAAAAAAAGCATATTAGTCAGTAGAATTATCCATTAAGTGGTCCTCTGCTGCCATCTAGTGATTATAATTGAAATTTCAGGGAATTTACCATAGAAATACAGTGTTTTTAACCTTTATAACTGTTATAACGGCAACTTTTGCAAAAAATGCATTAGCACCCCCCACTGGCTGATTTCTTTCAAATTTCTCACAGACATTTAGGCCTCCGTTAACTCCGTCTAATACAGTAGGTGCTCAAACTTCATAAAGCACGATCCCCAAACCCACTATAGGATAAGTGGTTTGGAAGATGGATTGATGATATCTTGCAGTATTGTTCACCAAACCTCTCTGAGAGACTAGAACAGTTTAAGATACAAATTTTATGTTTAACTATTCATATGAAGTGTAGATTTGTGAATTTTTTTTTTTCATTTAACTTTACTGTTCTCTGTTTTACATTGACAGACTTGATTTACTCACCAGTGACAATGACAGTGAATCTCCTCTTTATGTTGTGTCTCCTGCGGCTGATCTTCTGTTCATAAAGTCCAGAGTCAGTGGTGCAGGTGTTTGTGATGGACAGAGATCCAGTCAGATTGTCCAGCTTCAGTTTGTCTCGGAATCTCCCATCAGGACCATCATATATATAAAATCGTTGGGCTGCTTTATAGAGTTCAGCTATGACAATGTCTCCAAACATCCACAGTATCTGATCATCGTTCTGTATTTTAGTAAAATGAATCTGCAGAGTAAGAGAATCTCCCTCCTTAACTAACACTGACTTTACTGCATCTGTCACAACAAACACATGATGAACAGTGAGTGAGGAACAGCTAGTCAGGCATAAATTATATACACACAGAAAGATTTTTTACATTTCACTTCACAAATCTCACTGAGCCTTGTCTATTATTGTCTCTCAGTTGTTTAATTTTCATTAAATTAATTAAAAACATTTTTTTTCTAAGTTTAATTTCTACAGCACCACTTTACTGGTCACAAAGCCACATTTCAGATCTAACAGGACCTTTCCATCAACGGAATGACAAAGAGAAGAAGAGAAATGTGTTCATCAGATCAAATGATAGTGCAGGCGAACATGAGTTCACTATAAAACTGAACACAACAGTAAATAATGAACAGACAGAGAAATGAAGCATCTGTCATGCACTTTCAAACACTTCACAACACATGAAAAAATCATTAGAGTTGAATCCTGTAATGTATGTTATGAATGAGAAGCACATATACTAATATATGCCAGTATAAAGATCACCTATTACAGCTGCAGTGTCACTACATCATAAAATCATATAATCAATGTGACAACTGTCCTGTTAATAATAATAGTATTAATTTACAAATCAAAATGTTTCACTTCTTTAAAAGTGACTAAACTAATAGCACCACAAAGTTTCAAAGTTAGCCTTAAACAGTTAATCTAAACCAAAAACATGCCTGTTAGATCCTGTACCCACTAAATTACTGAAAGACTTGTTTCATTTCTGCCATATGTACATTAACTGACAGTCACGAAGTGACCATCAGTAACAGCAGCTCAGAGACTAAATACAGATTCACTGTTACTGTCTATGGTGAGTAGATTATATGCTACCAACCGCTCTTTACTGTGGGAATTATTCTTAATTCTGCCAAATAAAACAGGATTTTAATGTTTTCAACATCTTTGGCATTTCTCTATGACACTGTAATTCCATTTTAAATATGAATTCATATAACTAAAGCCTACACTCTAAAAATTGGTGGGTTAAATATAACCCAGCGCTGGGTCAAAACAACCCAATAGCTTTAAATATGTCCGTAAGAAGTGTCAAACAATTTGACCCTGTCAAACCTGTCATACTGTTATGATTTTTAATACCGTTTGTGAAACCGGGCTGTAGTGTTCAAGATCTCTCAATTTTGCTCTCAGATAAGTGTAAAAACACTTCTAACAGTTGAATGTTAAAGTTCAGTGTGTTTTGGCGAAACCTGCATTGTTTAACAGTCTAAAAGAAAACTGAAGCCTTCAGGTAACCAGTATGAGAAAAAAAGCTGCTCAAGCTGATTTGAGCAAGTAAGAGTTGAGTTGAGAAAGAAAATGTGTAAAATAAAAAAGAAACAGAGCAGTCCATAAAAGAAGTAGTTTGTTAAATATTGAGTCAAATCACCTTTATACCTCGTGCAAACCATTAAAAAACAGAACTGAAATTAAACACGCTTCTGTCTAGCAGAGTTGTCACTGCTGTCTTGTATAAGAAAACAGACACAAAGATTGCTTCAGTTTTTGCAGGATAGCATCACTAAAACAATCCAAATAATCTGAATGGGTAACACTGACGTGAAGGACCCCCGAAATGTTAAGCATTCATCATAATTTTGTTTTTGAACTTATGATGCTGAAGATTATCATGTTAGACATGACATCAGGCATCTCAAACTGAATCTTTATAGTCCAGCAGGGCATTAACCGTGGTAAACTCTTTCATTATCTCCTGGGCATTTGTCTCTTTGTCTATCTGTCTTTGTGTTCTCTTTCAGGAAGTCAAACAGGAGGATGAGACGGTGTATGCACGTGTCATACGAAACGTTGATCAAACTGCTCATTAATGATGTTGTGATTGCAGTCAGTTGACATGCATGCTAGAAAGACAGCTATAATGACAAAGCTGTAAAACATGCAAAAGTGCTGCGTTTACATGATGTTCCAGAGCACTGCTTTTTTTGAGATGCATGCAAATAGGGTAACTGACTGTAACTCTGAAAATCTATATTACTTTTCTTTTTTTGTTTGGTGCAATTGAGGTTTTTTGTTCCAAGTGATTTTTGATCGATTTGATTGTGATCCTTAACATCCGTTTCAGTTATACTAGAGATCAAACATAAGCATTCGATAAAAAAAAAAAAAAGCTGATCTTGTGTGAGTTCTCAATAGTAATAGACATATCATACATGAACTCATATTGTACAGCAAATCAAAGCTGATTTTAAAATCCACTTCATTTGTTCCAGCTGCTTATTCTCTCAATTCTCTCTCAAAAGTCATTATTTAGCTGATGGCCATTCTGAGGGACAAATTTAAACAGAAAACGAATCTATAAATAAAATCTACAGAATGACAGTGGCCATTTAAAGGGGTCATATGATGCTGCTAAAAAGAACATTATTTTGTGTATTTGGTGTAATGAAATGTGTTTATGCGGTTTAAGGTTAAAAAACACATTATTTTCCACATACTGTACATTATTGTTTCTCATCTATGCCCCGCCTTTCTGAAACGCATTGATTTTTACAAAGCTCATCGTTCTGAAAAGCGAGGTGTGCTGTGATTGGCCAGCTATCCAGTGCGTTGTGATTGGCCGAATACCTCAATCGTGTGACGGAAATGTTACGACCCTTACATACTGTGATGCCTTGTCCCGGCCGGAGCGACGAGACAAACATTAAAACCCATTATAAATGAGGCATTCGTTGCATCCAGTGGGGAAATAATTATGGATTATAATGACTTATACTGTCTTTTTACGCGTTGCGTTGCATTGTGCCGCGTAAACATAAAACCATGTCTGCATTTGTGATCGGAGATAAAGTTGATGTATTTCCTCAGTGACCAGCACAGATCAGCTCCAGGCATGATGAAGCGGATATCGTCCTCTTTTGGAAGACCAAACAAAGTAGTTTCGCAACGAAACACAGCACCTTCACGACTTGACGGCGGCGGCAACAACAATACTACAGCGAGAATAAAAGTTATGCCTTCTTTCTTTGCGTGAACATTTGGGCGGCATTATGCAAATCTTCCCACAGAGCGACATAGATATGTGGGGGCGTGTTAGAACGAGCCGTTTTAGGTAGGCGTGGCTGACTCTTAACTTTTAGAAAGAATATCTCTTTGGATTTGAGACTTTAGTCTTTGCAACTTTACAGATCTTCTTTATGCACCAAGAGCTTGTAACACTCCAAAGAGAAAGGAAACATTGAAATCGCATCATATGACCCCTTTAATTTTAGTACATATTCACAGTAAACAGATGCTATTGTTATCTTTTTACAGTATTTTGAATAGAATCATACCGCAGAAGGCCTCATTTAATATCTGTAAAGAAATGTGCTTTTCTTTGTTTTGGCAGACAGCATGTGCATGAAGATGTGTCTATACTGGACGTCTGTGGTCAGTGTAAGCTAGTGTCTGCATGTTTTGAGGTGCGAACAGTGTGTGTTTCGGTGAATAGCATGGACATCCACAATTTGCATTCCTCTTTATGCGAAACTGTTTTACTGCAAAATAAAGTACATAATTTATGAATGCTGATGCTTGACAAAAAGAGTTGTGAAATAACGCAAAATATCATATAGTATGTGTACATGAAAAATAAAATCGCGGATTGCTATCAGTGGTTGATTTGCATGCTAATGCAGTGATCCTGCAGATAAGAATGTTAGTTTCAGCAGAAGTTACTTCCGGCTCCAGCAACACTTAGAAGTCGTTTCTGAGAAGTTTCCACTATTCTTGATATCACACATATCTGTTTTGTGAAGAACGTGTCATGTTCGTCTGTCAACATCGAGGACAAACAAGGTGAATAATTTTTAGAATAAATGCATTGCAATGAAAAGTTTAAGTTGAAATTGATCATTTTAGTTTCATCCATTTTTGGTATAAAAAATTCTATAAATGCTAAAAAACTGCTATAGCAATAAAAAATTATTTTCATTAGTATATACGTATGTATATATATATAGATAGATAGATAGATACAAATATTAGAAAGGTCGGTAACACTTTACAATAACAGTACATGAATTATCATGTACTAATAGCTGAATTAATAATTACTTGACTATGAACTAATGATGAGTTAAGATATGTATTAATCAAGAACTAATGAAGAACTAACTTAACTAAGACATGAGTCATATGAACTACTGCATGAATAACACTACCTTAATTACATGTTAGTTCCTGCATGTTAGTTAATTAACACTTTGGGGTAAACTAAATCAAACACGCTCTAGAAGCAAGATGAAAATTAAAATAGCACAATGTAAAATTGTTTATAAATTTGCCACCTGCAGTTGCCACAAACATCAGTGATTTGTACACTGTGAAAATTGTACCTGCTTAACGTTATAGTAGGACGGCAGCAGTGGAATCACTCAAAACAGAATGAGATGAAATTGTTTTTAATTATGAATGCATCATTGTGTGTTGGATGAGTTAGGTTAAACGTAAATATTGCAAGAAATCCACTGTCGTTCACTGATGTTTGTGACAACTGCAGGTGGCAAATTTATAAACAATTTTACATTGTGCTATTTTCATTTTCATCTTGCTTCTAGAGCGTGTTTGATTTAGTTTACCCCAAAGTGTTAATTAATACATTAATATATATATATATATATATATATATATATATATATATACTAATGAAAATAATTTTGTATTGCTTATAGCAGTTTTTTAGTATTTATAGCAGTTTTTTATACCAAACATGTACTGTTATTGTAAAGTGTTACCGAAAGGTCTACAGAAGAAAAAAAGTGTTTTTCCTAATGCTGGCATGAAGTGGAAACCTAATTATCCCTTTATTTTGTTCATAAACTGTGGCAGATATAATTCTTAATAAAGTAAAAAAAAAATCATTTTAAAATAATTCATCAAAATTATCCATGTAATGACTTTATTAGTAAATTAAAAAAAAGGGTATTAACCAATATGTTTTTTTTAATTTATTTATTATTTTTTCTTGTAAAGAGGAGTGAGAGGCAATTTTGCACATATTTTTCAGTTTTACTAAATAATTTTGGACCCAAGTTTTATTGTTTATTTATAGTTTGTTACGATAACTGATACAACGGTCTTGTTTATGGACTGTGATACTGGTTTACTGGAGATAGATGATATAATCAAAATTATTATTTAATTTGCTAAATACCATATGCACAAAGCAAAATACATGTCAGCTGTACCAAATGGTAGACTGTTTTCCACTGATTTAAAGCTCTTATATGATTCTTTAATCTCAATACAGAACTATCGTAAAGCTGTTGAGACATCTTTGCTGCTGAAAAAGAATGCACTGGATGTTCTTCTTTCTTTTTCTTATATAAGATGAAAAGGCTTGGCTTTCATTGTTTGATTGGTTTCTGTTGGTTTATAACTTTGTATTCCCCTGTTGTTAGCAAAAATATATAGTAATATATAGTATAATATTACTATATAATAATAGTAAAAAAAAAAATAAAAAAAATACTATGTTCGACTGGCGCTCTCTACTGTTCACACATTAGAATGGTCCTCTACAAGACTCGCTCTACTTCTAGCTATAAATAGAACTTACAGTAGAGCAGCAAATCAATGACACACAATGGATCTTCCACATTGGAAACTTTATGAAAATGAATAAAATGCTGATTATTCACAGACACTCTTGTTGTGTACTGTTGGTGTTTTTTAAAGAACTCAGGTCTAAGGATGGTTTTATCTGCAGTGCAGATTCGTTCATAAATACGTTTATAGATAAATAAGTTAACTTAATAAAGACTATCTTAGCTAAGGATACATTTGTAGGTTTGATTTCAAATGACTGTAGGTAAAGATTCATTTCATCTAGTGCTGCTCCAAACGATTCAGTGCGTCAGAGCAGAATGATTCATTCAGACTGAATCGCGAGTCACTTTCAACCGCTCTGCTTATCCGTTTGCTCGACTCATTGAAAAGAGCCGACTCAAAAGAGTGATTCATTCACTAATCGCTGGTTCTGATTCTAAACACCGGAAGTGCCGCTGCGAGATGCCGATGCCGCATTGTTTTCGCCAGCCCCTGATAACCGAGATGAGAATTTATTTCGCTTAAATCAGCTAAAGCTAATAAATCATCCAAAATCCCTCTCCAAACACGTTCAGATTCCCCTGACATTTTGCGTCGCTTCCGTCTTCATACTCTTGAAGTACTTTTCTCACTGTCCAATAACAGTGCGTGTTACATTTACAAGCGCGAGAGGGGTTGGCTCTATAAAATCTAGGCGAAAGTTGACTGGTTGCTCCCACGTGTGTACTGTTCAATGGCATTTTTTTTTTAACTTGATTGACAAATGGATAAATAAAAGCAATGGGCAAACAGAGAAAGAAAAGCGATTGCCAAATGCATTTTTAAAAAGCGATTTAAAATGTGCATTTAAATAGATTTATTCATGTAATTTTTATTGTTTTATTAATCCACGTTTTAAAACATGAATTAAATAAACAGTTTAAATGTGTCTATACATTAAAAAAATATTTTTTAAATAATTGTTTTATTAAACTACATTTAAAAACACGAATTAAGTAAACATCTTTAAATATGTCTATTAATTTGTCCATTTAAAAAGTTATTTATTTCTATACATTTTTATGTTTGAATTATTAAATCAATAAATTGATTCTTCATTTTATTTTTAAGTGGCACTCTCGGTCCCCCATACGGGTCCACTGGACCCGGGGCTAATAAAAGAGTGGAAATTTTAGGTCCTGTGTACCTTTCCTCTGTCCTCCTATTGGCTTGGACGGCTATTAATATGTGTATGTGTGTATGTGTGTGTGTGTTTATGTGTGTACGTGTGTGTGTGTGTGTGTGTATGTGTGCATGTGTGTGAGAGAGAGAGAGAGAATGTAAGAGTGTGAGTTTTGTGTTTCTGCCCCCTGCCATTCCCGCACAAGGCTGTAGCACTTTAATTCATAAATGTGATCTAACAAAGGTAAAGGGCAAATTTTGACCATGCATGCTGTTTATATTGCTTGTAATTGGGATGAAGTAAACATCTGTTGAGTATTTTTATATGTAATTTTTAATTTTGTTGAATTAAAGACCCCAAACTGTAGTGGGTCCACCAGACCCACGAACACTGGCTGAGTAACAAAAAATATGAACACCACACAAGAGTTAACTGCTCAGGACAAACAAGGGACTCATGAACAACCAGCACAAAACACAGTCATTGATCTTCAAGGTAACAACACAGTATCAAGAGAATGTCAAATTTTGAACTGGTTAATTTGTGTAAAAAGCTATTATTTTGTCTTGTGGACAATATGTTATCATCTGTTATGTAAAGTAGCTTATTCAAGTGAGTGCTATAAAAAAAGCATGCAATATGCGTATTTAAAAACAAAAAGGTTCTGCAAGGTGTATGCAAACTTAAACATGCTATACAGTATACTCAGCTATACATAAAACAAGGAAGTGTGCACTATGCTGATAAAATATTTTCGAGATGAGCTTAACTGATCAGCAAAGCAGAGCAAAACTATTAGATAATAACATCATAATATAAAATGAAACATTAAAAGTTTTAATTCCATCATTTTTCATGTCCCTGGATTTAACATTTTAAAACTGCGGATTTTTCATGAATATTTCTGTGTATGAATTATCAGTGGTTTAAGTGCTTTGACTTCAGACTTTAGCACAATTGTGAGAGAGAAGAGAATCTGGGAAGCCGCTGGACATTCATTTGGTTTTATTTGTTTTGCATCAGGCTCAAAACGATAAATACAAATAATTCAAGCTGAAGCGAGAAATAAAATAAACCAGAACACAATCAGAAATCAATTAAATAAGCTCATACAACTGTAATAAATCATCACCAGTACCAGATTGATTATATTTACATTAATCAGAGAAACAGATGAGCAGATTCACCTCAGATACTAAAATAATATAGACAGATATAATGTCAGTGCAATTACAAATTGCATAAAAATAAGGCACAGTTCCTAATATAAGCAAATAGAAAGGAAAAATAATATAAAAGTTAACAAACGTGCCTTGCAGTAAAAGCGTCACAGCAAACTTTTCACAGAGATTAACAATCAACTGGACAGATCTTGAATTAAACACAAACTCGCATGTTTCCAGACATTTCTAGTACTGAAGAAAGTGTCACACGACACTCTTAAGATTAAACATGCTTATGTTATATGAAAAACACACCTCAAAGAGAAATACAGTCTCATAAAATACATGGCTAATGATGAACGAATATAATAGAAAGTAGTTTATCCAGTACGCATTAATATGGAATGATTAATATTTATGAAAAGTGAAATGTCAATTCAATTGACCTGCACACATATGATTTTAAATGAGGAGAAATATGACATTTATTGTGAATAATGACAATGTTATAGAATGTTATGAGTAACGGTTCGTAATGAAGCTGCTGGAAGTGTCCTCTAGCTTTCTATTTCTCCAGGAATCTGAAAAAAAAAGATATTACACACTATATATATATATATATATATATATATATATATATATA